CCCTTGGATTATAATCACTAGCTCTTGTAAGAGCATCATGCTTTACTCTCTGGATTAGGAGAGGTCTACCCACTGGAAGCTGGATCCTGGTCTTGGGTCCAGGGTGGGTGGAGGACAGCAAGACCCCAACCAAGCTGTAACGCTGGCTGTGGGGATTACAGTGGTTATGGTGTCTGGTGGAGTGCTTGAAAGTACTCGGTGAGCACTAGAAAGCAGCGATTGGTGGAGGCACCCAGTCGGGGTGCCAGGCGGTCTGCCACAAATTACAAACCACCCTTCCTTTTAAGATGATTCCAATTGTATTTGTTGTATATGAGTCAATAGCTTGTTGGTATCTGATCATGTCTGGGAGACCCATACCACCAAGTTTTTTATTTTAATATAATTGAGGTCTAAAAATTCTTGCTTTATTATCTATCCATATTAATTTCCCCATTAATGCCTGAAGTTGTTCCATCAGTCTCAGGGGCAGGGCTTTCAACGGTATCATCCTAGATTTGTAGAGCCAATATATAAGACTTGATTCTATTAACTATACCCATCCAGGAGATATATACGTGTTTCCATTCATTTATTTGTTGGGCTATATACTTGATCAATATTAAATAATTTATATCTACCATTTCCTCACTTTTAGGGGTTTAATGATTCCCGGATATTTTATACCTATGCAGAGGCGGCTCTCTAATTAGGCAGTTTAGGCGCCCGCCTAAGGCCTCGCGCTAGAAGGGGCTTCGCGGCCGCCTAAACCGAGTAATTAGAGAGCCGCTGCAGTGCTTTCAAATATTATAAAAAAAATGTAATGCCGGCCGGCGGCCGCATCAATATTGCCGCGGCGCCGGCTCTATTACAAGATGAAACCCTCTCACATGGGTTTCCCGTGCAGGAATGAATCCCCTCCCTTCCTCCTGCACGCTACCTGGTAATCGGCCAATCAGCGATGCCGATTACGTCACGACGTAACCCCTCCCCCGCCTGCGGTACTGAAGAGAAGAGGAGCTGCTGAAGAAAAGAGAGCAGAGGAGAAGGCAGAAAAAGGAAGGACTCAGGAGAGCAGAGGAGAAGGCAGAAAAAGGAAGGACTCAGGAGAGCAGAGGAAAAGGGAGAAAAAGGAAGGACTCAGGAGAGGAGAGGAGAAGGCAGAAAAAGGAAGGACTCAGGAGAGCAGAGGAGAAGGCAGAAAAAGGAAGGACTCAGGAGAGCAGAGGAGAAGGCAGAAAAAGGAAGGACTCAGGAGAGCAGAGGAGAAGGCAGAAAAAGGAAGGACTCAGGAGAGCAGAGGAGAAGGGAGAAAAAGGAAGGACTCAGGAGAGCAGAGGAGAAGGCAGAAAAAGGAAGGACTCTGGAGAGCAGAGGGGAAGGGAGAAAAAGGAAGGACTCAGGAGAGGAGAGGAGAAGGGAGAAAAAGGAAGGACTCAGGAGAGGAGAGGAGAAGGGAGAAAAAGGAAGGACTCAGGAGAGGAGAGGAGAAGGGAGAAAAAGGAAGGACTCAGGAGAGGAGAGGAGAAGGGAGAAAAAGGAAGGACTCAGGAGAGGAGAGGAGAAGGCAGAAAAAGGAAGGACTCAGGAGAGCAGAGGAGAAGGGAGAAAAAGGAAGGACTCAGGAGAGGAGAGGAGAAGGCAGAAAAAGGAAGGACTCAGGAGAGCAGAGGAGAAGGCAGAAAAGGGAAGGACTCAGGAGAGCAGAGGAGAAGGGAGAAAAAGGAAGGACTCAGGAGAGCAGAGGAGAAGGCAGAAAAAGGAAGGACTCAGGAGAGCAGAGGGGAAGGGAGAAAAAGGAAGGACTCAGGAGAGGAGAGGAGAAGGGAGAAAAAGGAAGGACTCAGGAGAGGAGAGGAGAAGGGAGAAAAAGGAAGGACTCAGGAGAGGAGAGGAGAAGGGAGAAAAAGGAAGGACTCAGGAGAGGAGAGGAGAAGGCAGAAAAAGGAAGGACTCAGGAGAGCAGAGGAGAAGGGAGAAAAAGGAAGGACTCAGGAGAGGAGAGGAGAAGGCAGAAAAAGGAAGGACTCAGGAGAGCAGAGGAGAAGGCAGAAAAGGGAAGGACTCAGGAGAGCAGAGGAGAAGGCAGAAAAAGGAAGGACTCAGGAGAGCAGAGGAGAAGGCAGAAAAAGGAAGGACTCAGGAGAGAGAGGAGAAAAAGAAGGACTCAGGAGAGAGGAGAAGGCAGAAAAGGAAGGACTCAGGAGAGCAGAGAAAGGGAAAAAAGGAAGGACTCCCAGAGAGCAGAGGAGAAGGCAGAAAAAGGAAGGACTCAGGAGAGGAGAGGAGA